GGAACTGCTGATTCTCTTCTGGGGGTGCTACTGATGTGAATGTGTCAGTACCATGCAGTTGGAATATTCTTTAAAAATTGTGCAACATTGAAAAATTCAGTTATATAACACGTACTTGTAACCTTTCTGTTTTGAGTGAACGGTAATTTGACCAGCTTGCTGAAGTTGGTCCTCCCACCATATGGTTATATGCAATGTGATCATCCATATCTTGTTGTACAGAAATTTGCATCCTAATTTTTTTTATTCCCAATAACACATTGGCCAACATTCTTGCTGCTTCTCCGACAATTTTGGTGACACCATTTTAGTTTTTTCAAACATCTTTACAGCCTTACTTACAGAATCAAAAATTATTTCTGCAGAGATCCTTTTAAGTTTGCTTTGAAACCATTTCTATGAATATTTCATAGTTTTTAAATCACTTTCTATAAACATCCAACATCTTTGTTGCAGAAGCATGGTGGCTTATTATGGCTTATTGTGGTTATCTTTTGCTGTTAAAAAATTCTGGCAGATTGACGTGTGTCTGTGTTACATAACATATGTATAATGCACCTTGCTGTAAATGACAGCTGTATTTCAAGTGCACAATGCAAGTTTCATGACAAAAGAGGGTTCTTTTTTGCATAATGTTTACAGCTGTTCTATCACACATGATGTATTTATGCCCAAACATTTCGTGATACATATACTTTTTTGTCAAATCTTTCATCTGAATCTGTAGCTCTTTTTTAAAGGTTGATGTCAATTAGTCGTGGTTCGTATTTTCTGTATTTTTTACCTTTTTACGGATTTTTTATCCAAAATCAGTTGAACATGTTTTCTTAAACAGAAATTGTGGAAATTATGACAACACCATAAATATGTTTTAAGAAGGAAAAAAAATTCATTGGCAGGGTTGTGGTTGTCTTATAACTACAGCTGTTTCTTGAAAGATTATGATATATTTATGACTAAAAGTTGCTTACTTTACATTAAGGTTGTGCTTCTAAATAAGTCATGGGGCTGGAGTGTACCTTTGGTACCAGTATCAAAGTTACAGCAGACTGCTCTGCCTACTGGGAGAGATCAACCCTCTTATGACAAGAAGTTGCTTAATGCAAGAGGGTTGTTGTGGACAGATGGTTTTTCAAACATTTAATAAAACATGATTCTCGAGACAGCATGCGGCTTTCATTTTGGGCCCTATCTGCAACAATTTGAATTGTGTTATTTCACTTCAGTAGCATACAGACAAAAACAAAAGTTGGCAGTAGTCACAATTATAGAATTTCAACAATGATTTTTAAAAATATGAGCACATAAAATTTGTGATATTTCAGATGTATCATAGGCAGAATCATTCATTGTCTTCATGTCATAGGTTGATCATTGATGGTTTAATTGTGGATCTTTTTCTACATGTCATTGATGGTGCCATTGTACAGAAACCATGGCAAACCATTGACATCAACAGTTACGGTGGTCAGGCAATACTGTCACTGGTCATTGTTACTGGTATTGCTTCGCTACAACCAATACAAGATATGTTTTTCATAATGTTTGTGCCAGATGAATCTAGTGAAAAGGTACAGGTATGATAGGGAATTCAGAGGTGTGTAATTTAAAGTAAATCAATTTAATAAATTTAAACCTGTTACGTACAGTGTAGGAAGGTGCAGGAAGTGTGATGTTGAGAGGGCACCGCATTTACCAGACTTGAACCCCTCCCCCAAATTTTTTTATCTGTGGGGTATCTAAAGGATAAAATGTACCTGAACCCAATTGATGAACCTAACACAACAGTTGCAGCAAAAATTGGGGAAATCACCAAAGAAAGTTTGACAATTTTGTGTGACATATGAAAGTATGCCTCCAATGTTGCAGAAACCATTTGGAGCATTTATTTACAAAGCAAGTAATTTTTATGCAAAGTGACCAAGATAACTGAAATTTTGGGGAATGATTATGTACATATTGAAGTTTAAGCCCAGCAAATTTCTTAAAATTTGATGGACCTTTGTACGATTTAATAAAATTGGTCAAAATTGGAGGATGGATCAACAAAGATAATTGGATGGCTCTCAGTAAATATGTCTTATCTGCTCCTGTTCAGTAATTATCTCTTGAACTTTATCAGTATATGTGAGTGCTCCACTTGATTTGTGGACAGTTATTGTTTTATCATTTGATTTTTTTCATATATGTATATACTGCAGTATAGTAATGGACAGTCGCCTCTATTTGTATGCTTTTTGCACTTCATGGTGCAGTTTACTTCATTCTTTACCAAATTGTTTTTGTCACAGACCAAATAACATAAAGATGTGACAAAATTGCAATACATGTGTACTTATGTTTGATCAACAGTGTTAATAATGCTGACATTATATATATTAAACCTCCAATGCCCTTTAAGTTTGTTGTGTTTTCTGTCATTGCCACAGGGACATGTCTTTGTCACAGGTAGATATAAATGTCACCCCTATGTCTCTTAATATATATCAACATTATATTCAGTATTGATGTGAGATACTTAGTTGTATAAGTTTAGCAATAACCATTCCATAATATTCCATCTACATTGGAACCTACTTGTTTGTTAAACTTGTTAGGTAATTCATATAGACACACATTCACGCACACAAACTCGCACACACTGTCAAAATATCAAAATACATAAAACCTTTTGCAAATTTACAATGATTATCCAATCATCTTGTCCCTAAATATTTTTGTCTGTCACCACTTTGTGAGCGAGTTGACAAGTGTATGACACGGAAGTGTCACCCATCTAGGAACTTTACCGTGGGTGGCCCCCCTCATTAGCGCCCCGCTCGGCTTGGGGGCCAGTGGCAGTCTGTGTGGCGTGCTCTCATTCATCACATTTTACCTACTAGTTATGGCAGGTTGGGTCACCCCTGGGGGTAAAGTTGTGAACCCCAGCAGCATTACTCATGATTATAGTACCAGCTTGCTCTATGACTCGCGACTCATCATGTTTTTTTTTCTCTCCATTTTAACAAGCTTGAATTGGGGTTATGATGATTGCCTGGCTGTGTAGGCTAATGACAGCAACATGTGGGAGGGCTCTCGTTGAGCAACACGGGAGGCCTTGCAGAACACGAGCAGGAGGTGAACTCGTGATACACACGTCAGTGACGTCTGTCATACCAGGTCAACAACCTAACACTTTGTCATAAATATCTCATTGAATTATAATCCATTATTATAATTTCTTAATTTATCACCCTCACCCATAATAACATATAGAGTTATAAAAGAACAGAAAATATTGCTGAGACTGCAGTGACCTCGGATTGACCAAAATAAAACCATTTTCCTATAAACATGTGGGAGTTCTCTGAGGGCACTTCACGAAACTGGCCATGCAGAATGGGATTACTCAGATTTATATGAAAACCACCTTTGAATTGCATGTATATTATATTGGCACACATGTGTGCATACATGATGTTAATATGTTTGAGAACAGACCTCACACAGTCCGAGATGTAGAGTAATGGAAAGAGCAGCATCAGGGCCAGCTGGTCAGATAGTTAGACATACATGAGGAAAAATAAATCTTTTCTGGAAGTTTGGAATATTTTGGTTCTCAGACTCTGTTCAGTGTTAGACTAGAGTAGAGTTTGGCTTTAAAATAATTTAGAATTCTTTTTTTTTTTTTTTTTTTTTTTTTTTTTTGGGGGGGGGGGGGG